GCTGGAGGAAATTACAGATACAGGGAGGTGCCATTCCATGAAGGGAATTTGGAGGCAAGAATGAGAATTTTAAGAGTTGCTGCTCAATAGGGAGTCAGTTTAGGTCAGCAAACAGAGGACAAGTATTTTGCTTTTCCAATATCTGTATGAATTTTTGATCATCCAGTACTGAAAGGATGTCTGATGACAGAAAGAGGATGTATGATGACAAAAAAGAGGAAGAATGGAATAAAATTAAAAAGGGATTAAAAAATAAATGGAAATGAAGCTCGGTCCCACAGCAGCAGCCAAAACTGCGCACATGAATGGACCTGGGAAACTAGAGTCACAAAGTAATTTACATAACTGGAGTTTGATAAAGGTTGGTAGCAAACGGGAGAAGAGAAAATCAGCAAGAAGTCCAGAGTTGAGATTAAAGGTTCTGTGGTGGGGTAAATTTGTTCATTTTAAAATTTATATTGCTCAGTGCTCAAACTACGTCAATGTAGTTAGTTAATACTTCCATCAAAAAGGTTATGGGGACACCGGGGTTAATCAGAATTTCCAAAAACAAAAATAAACAGATTTTCATTTAAATTACCAAGAGCTATAGAGGAAAGGCTGAAAGGTGTTCTCTCACAGCTACAACAATGGCACAAATGTGGAAAACTGTCCAGGTTCTTCCTGTGGGCAAAAGACAGGACATATATACCAGGCAATTAACAGCCCATCAGTCTGGTCTCAATCATCAGCAAAACAATGGAAAGTGGCATCAATATTGCTATCAAGAAGCATCTGAATAGCAACAATCTACTCTTTGATGCCCAATTTAGGTTCTGCCAGGTCCACTTTTGTTCAAACATGGCCAAAGGAGCTGAATGCCACAGGCATGGTGGGAATGACAGCGCTTGACATCAAGGCTACATTTGACTGAGCATGGCATCAAGGAATCCTGCTGGAATCAATCGGAATAAGGAAAGAGTCGCCACTGACAGGATTCATACCTATCAGAGAGGTTTGAACCTCAAATGGAGACTATAAGGACTGCAGATGCTGGAAGCCAGAATCTATATCTGTAAGGCTGGAAAAGCACAGCAGATCAGACAGCAGCGGAGCAGGAAAGTCAACATTTCAGGCCGAAACCCTTTGTCAGGATTGGGGAGGGGAGCCCAGAAATAAATAGGAGAAGGGGCTGCGGGGCTGGGGAAAGGGTAGGAGAGATGGTGATAGGTGGATGCAGATTGTTATGGCAGGGGGTTACGGTGATTGGTCCATGGGAAGGGTGGAGCAGATAGGTGAGTACGAAGGTAAACAGGTTAGTCTGGTCAGGAAAGTGAGGAGGAGGGGGAGGGCTGGACATGGGATAAGGCTGTGCTGTGGTTGGTTTGCTCACAGAGCTGGTTCGTTAGTTCACAGACGTTTCACTATCCTGCTGGGTAACATCATCAGTGCAGCCTCCAATGAAGCGCTGTTGTGTTTTCCCGCCTAGTATTTAAACTCTGGAGTCCACTGGATTTGATTACCTTGTTTCCAGTTTTCCTCCTCAGTGGTGTATATATAGAGTCTATTTCTACATGTCTGTTGATGGTCTTCTTGGTGGAGAACCAGGCCCCTGGGAATTCCTGTGCTTGTCTCTGTTTGGCATGTCCTAAGATCCTGCTGCTGTCCCAATCAAACTGGTGGTTCTCCTTATACGTGTGAACAGAGATGAGTGAGTATTGGTCGTGTCTTTTTGTTGAAAGTTGGTGTTCATGTGGCCAATTTTCTTCCTGTCTGTCCAATGTAATGTTTGACACTGGGGCTGGAGGGGTTTTGATGCCGGTGAAGTCAATATTATAGCAATTGAGCTGTAAGCTCCCAAGGCGAAACATCAGATGTTGTTCCTCCAGTTTATGTTCGGCCTTACACTGACAGTGGAGGAGGCCAAGAATGGACATGTCATCAGGGGAGTGGGAGTGGGAGGGGGAATTAAAATTGACAGCAACCAGAAGGTCAGGTTGGTTGACGCGTGCAGAGCATTGATGCTTTGCGAACTGGTCCCTAGGTCTGCATTTCGTCTCCCCGATATAGAGGAGGCCACATCGGGAGCAACAAATGCAATAGATCAGGTTGGATGAAGTGCAGGTGAAACTCTGTCAGATGTGGAAGGTACACACAGTGCTGACGAAAATGATTGCTTCATAAAAATGACATTATGTTGTTTGCCCCACCATTGAAAAGCATTAAAAATCATCAACAGAAAGTGCTGGAAAACTCAGCAGATTTGGTAGCATCTGTGAAGAAAGAAACAGTTCACATTTTGAATCTAGTGGCCTTTCTTCAGAACTGGTTGCCTGAAAAAGGGTCACTGGACTCAAAACATTAACACTTTTCTCTCCACAGATGATGCCAGACCTGCTGAGTTTCTCCAACACTTTCTGTTGATGATGTCATTTTCATGAAGCAAGCCTTAGAGCAGCACAAATAACCCTTACATTGTTGATATTCAACTGTGCACCTGCTTCTTGATTGAAGTAGCTGTACCAGTTAAACATAAATAACGGAAAGTACCATTATTCTCAATTATTACAACAAAATTTGGCTCAACAACACAGATAATCTTGGTGAGTTGCTGCAATTCACCTTATACACTGCTGTCACTATGTGCTGGCTGAGGAGGGACTGAAGTTTTAAGGATGGCTATAGGAAACAGAAACAGGAGAAGGCAATTTAGCCCTTCAAGCCTGTTCACCGTTCAATGGGATCATGGCTGATCTGATGACATTTCTTCCATGATCCTTGATTTCCCCCTACTGGTGAAGAATCTATCTCAGCCTTAAATATGCAAGGACTCTGCACCCACAGTTCTTTGTGGCAAGTAGTCCCAAAGAGACTCAACCTTCTGAAAGAAGAAATTCATCCTCATCTCAGTATTACATTGGTGTCCCTTTATTCTTTATACCTGGAGATTCTCCCATGAGGTAAACATTCTCTCAGCATTTACGCTGTTAGGCTCCTTAAAAAGCCTTGGGCTCTTTTTAGTCATTCCATCAATGCCAATGGGAGAGATTGATCAACAACATTGCCTCAGAGACTAGACTATTTTTGAGATAGTAATATTCATATGGCAGAACGGCTGATCTCTTTCTTATCTCATCTTTCAACTCATCAGAACAGCTGGCTAGTCTGTTGCACTCCTGTTCAATGTGTCAGTCATGGCTCAGTTGATAACAGAGCTAAGCCACAAGATCAAGTTCCACTTCCAGGAATGTGATGGCATACTCTCCAATAGCTTTAACCAACTCCAACAACAATCAAGAACCTCAACAGCATCCAGGACAAAGCAGTCCACTTGATCAGTAGGCCATTTACCACCTTAAAAATTCAGTCCCTCCACAGCCAGTACACTGAGTGATAGCACTGGATAAAGTGCAGCAACTCACCAAGATTATCTGTGTTGTTGAGCCAAATTTTGTGCAATAATTGAGACTAATAGTACTTTCCGTTATCTATTTTAAATGGTATAGCTACTTCAGTCAAGAAGCAGGTGCACAGTCGAATATCAACAACCAAAAGGTTATTTGTGCTGCTCTAAGACTTACTTCACGAAAATGACATCATGCTGTCTGCCCCACCATTGAAGAGCATTAAAAATCAACAGAAAGTGCTAGAGAAACTCAGCAGGTCTGGCAGCATCTGTGGAGAGAGAAGTGTTAACGTTTTGAGTCCAGTGACCCTTTTTCAGGCAACTAGTTCTGAAGAAAGGCCACTAGATTCAAAGCGTGAACTGTTTCTTTCTTCACAGATGCTACCAGATCTGCTGAGTTTCTCCAACACTTTGTTGATGATTTTTAATGCTTTTCAATGGTGGGGCAGACAGTATGTCATTTTCGTGTAGCGAGCTTTTTCTTCAGCACTGTGCATTCATGCCAGATTTCTAGCATCTGCAGTTCTTTGTTAATTTAAAAACCATGTTACTTCATGTGGACTAAGGCGACAAGGTAAATTCAAGTCTTGCCATTTCAAACAAGCTCACATATGTTAACTAGTGCTAATCACTTTCTTTGGCAATAAAATATTGGTGTCATGTCTGTTTTGTTCAGGCTTTTAAAAGCAATTCAATCATTCTTTCCTGTTTCCGTAATTATTTCTGACACACAGTTAGTTTCAAGTCCTCTAGTTTGAGTCTGAACCCTTCAACCTCATTGGTTAAGGAGATGTCTAGTTTCCAGATGGCTTGTTTCTTTCATTGTGCTTTCATCAGGTCACACTTTGAGCAACTTTGCAGGCAAAAATATTTTAAGCCAAAGGATGCAGTGGGAAACCTACATGGCAGATGAATTGAGATAACAAGGTGTAGAGCTGGATGAACACAGCAGGCCAGGCAGCATCACAGCAGCAGGAAAGCTGATGTTTCAGGTCTGGACCCTTCTTCAGAAAAAGATGAATTGGATGCCCTGCCACTGTGGAATCTGGCACAGTATCTCCTGGTGTCTTGGTGTCAAATTTTGTTTGATAAATCACTATTATTCAATATGATTGTCAGGTTAATCAAAGGGACAAACAGTTGGACTCAAGTCAGTACAGCCACCCACAATCCTAGACAGGAATAATTTGATTAAACATTAGGAGGCAGGAACCAGTTTAGTGTGCACAGAGTGAGTCAAGTTACTTGTTACAACCTGCTATCGCGTCAACAGAGACCAGCTCACTCAATGTAGACAATCTGACATGGAGATGTTCAATAATGCAGAGCCATAAAGGACAGATTATGACAATTTGATGTAACACTCAACTCCGTGAGACTTTAAATGTTCATACTTGAAAAGCTAATTCAATGCCATACAACAGTAAAAATCGTGACACTTATCTGTACTGTAAAGAAAATGAATGTCTTCTGGCTTCCCAAAACTAACAGTTTCTACATTACAACTGTGATGTGTCAACTCAAAGATACCACAACTTTATCTGCTTCAAATGTGGTAAGTGACACGCAACATATGCACTTAAGAGCCATTTGAAAAAGAATAAATTGAACTCACCATTTTTACTTTTTCTAAAGTAATAGGTTTCTCTTGGTATTTTCCCCTTTTCTTTTCATCTTTCCGTCTGTCCTTTTCTCTCTGCAAGCACACGTTAGACTTTTATAACCCATTAATCAAAAATACAACCATAGACTCTTTGTCACTATATTTAAATTAATATTTATTTTAAAGCATAACAAAGCAGGCAATGAGTTTCCAATCAGATGCTATTTTCTGTTTTTGTAATTACAGCTTATTTCTCACTCACCTTAATGAAGAGTGAAAACAATTTTCTTGGAAAAATTTTCATCTTCAGTCTAAATTATTCCAATTATTCCACCAGTTTATTCCTATTTATGTCCAATGGAGTACTGGCATGCATGTATAAATTAAGAACTCGGTACTTTTGATGTTGAATGGAGACCAAAGTTTTCAAACACTCTTATAGAACAGTGAATTGTATTTCACAAGTTAGTAATTCTTGGCTATCCCACTCATCTAGTGTGGGCTCAAAGCAATAGGTGATGGAGGGAGACAGCTTACCATTAATATGAATTTATTAAGCATTAAAAATATTGGCATGGAATTCCTACTAAGTTTGGCTGATTTTTTAATTTGTCCAAAACTGATGCAGTGTTGGATTGAGGCAACAGAAGGGCTCCAACAGGGCCGCTTAGAGTCAGTGGGCTAGTCCATATTGAAGAACTCAGTGGCCAATCTAAATGAGCATGTCACTACCGTTACAGACTTCATTAGTAAGTATGTACGTATAAGAATATGTGCTGAAGAAGTTAACCCAAACGTTCCCCAACCAGAAACCATGGACGAACCAGGAGATCCACTCCCTATTTAAGTCTAAGTCTGAGGCATACTAATCAGGCAATCCTGACCTGTACAGGAAATCCAGGTACGATCTCCAAAACATCAAAGATGCCAAGAGGCAAGACCAAACTAAGCTTGAGACCCAGACTAACCATAGGGACACCCGCCAGTTGTGGCGAGGATTACACAACATAATGGGCTACAAAGCAAGGTCGAACAGAATCAATGGACTGGGCAACAGTACATCCATACCCAACAAGCTCAATGCATTCTATGCTTGCTTTGAACAGAAGGTCAGTGAAACGATGTCACCTATCCCAACAGCCTTGGATCCACCTGTACCCACAGTCAATGCAGATGTTAAATCAGCCTTCATGAGTGTGAACCCACAGAAAGCGACTGGCCCAGATGGAGTCCCTGGCTGTTCACTCAGATCCTGTGAGGGCCAGCTGGCAGGAGTATTTGCAGACATCTTTAACCGCACCTACTATGATCTGAAGTCCCCACCCTGCTTCAACAAGGCCACCATCATCCCAGTGTCAAAGAAAAATCATGCAGTGCACCTCAATGATTACCATCCAGGAGGCTCTGACCTCCATAATAACAGAGTGCTTCAACAGGGTAGTCACGGCTCACATGAACTTCACCCAACCAAACTGCTTTGATCGTTCACAAATTCGTCTACCAGCACAACAGGTCCACAGGAGAATCTATCTCCCTGGCCTTACACTCATTCCTGGAATATATGCATAACAGGGATGCCTACGTCAAGTTCCTACCTACTGACTACAGTTCTGCCTTCAACACCACAATTCCAAACAAACTCTCTCTAAATTCCAAGACCTAGGTCTCGGCTCAATGCTTGGCAATTAGATTCTCAACTTCTTGATCCACAGACTGCAATCACAAATGACAGGCGTCAATACCCGCTCCATCATCAACCTTAACACCGGAACCCTGTAAGGCTGCAAACTCAGCCCCCTACAGTACTCCTTAATACCATCTTTATTCTTCTTCACACTAACAACTTTGTTTCTCCAAACCTTCCTCTCTGCCAGATCCTGTTTACCCTTATTATCCACTAACATTTTCTCTACAATGCCTTATACACTAACAACTGTGTGGCCAAATTCTGCATCCAACTCCATTTACTAGTTTGTTGACTACATCACCATTGTAGGTCGGCTCTCAAATAACGTTGAGACAGAATACAGAAAACAGATCGAATGCTAGGGGCATGCTGTAAAGACAACAATCTCTCCATTCAGCGTCAGTAAAATGAAGGATCTGGTCAGTGACTTCAGGAAGCAGAGTGCAGGGCACGCTGCTGTCTGCATCAATGGTGCTGAGGTGGAGATGGTTGACAGCATTAAGTTCCTGGTAGTGATGATTACCAACAATTTGTCCTAGTCCACCCACATTGACGCAACATTATCTCTACTTCCTCAGAAGGTTAAAGAAAATTCAGCATGTCCACAAGGACAATTTTGATAAATACACTACAGAAAGCATCCTAACTGGATGCATCTCAGCACAGTATGGTAACATACTATGTGGTCCCAAGACCACAAGAAACTATAGAGAACCATGAACACAGCCCAGTCCATTGCGCAAACCAGCCTTCCATACATTAACTCCATCTATACTTCCCACTGCTTGGGAAAGCAACCAACATAATCAAAGGCCCCTTCAACCCGAGTTATACTCTCTTCTACACTCTTCCATCCAGCAGAAGATATAAAAGCTTGAACACATGTACAAACAGGTTCAATAATAGCTTCTTTCCCGCTGTTATCAGACTTTTGAATGGACCTCTCAAATGTTAATTCTGATCTCTCTTTCTGTACCTTCTCTGCAGCTGTAACACTATATTCTGTACTCTGTTCTGCTGCCCTAATGCACTTTGTATGGCACAATCTGCTGTCTAGCACGCAAAAAAACACTTTTTGCTGTATCTTGGCCCAAGTGACAACAATAAAATCAAACGATCACAGAATTTCATACGTAAGTTACATTTAGCATGAAGCTCAAAAGCTTTGCTTAAAAAAACATTACACTGGAAACCAGTACAATCCATAAAACTAGCCTCACCCCCAGATCAAATTAACTACCTTGCAAGTCGATAAGCTTTTCAGAAGGCTCTTAAAATTTAAAGACGCAAACAGGCAACGTCTCAAAAAAATCTTAAATGATGAAAACAAAATGACGAAGAAACTGACTGTTGCACATCAATGTAGATAGTAAATTGTTTGAAGGTGTGTTTTTCAAGAATTTTGAATTATTTAAAATTGGGCTTCCCACAGATAATAAAGCACATTGTATGGGCTGTAAAGATTGCAAAAATGCCTCTAGCTCTGAAGACAGCCCCTAGTGAAATGGAACTGGTCAAAAGAGTAAGTTTTACAATTGAAATAAAATATTCCAGGATTTTGGTTTGGGGGTGAAAATGGAGGTGGGGTTGACAGAAAAATAACCAGAAGACATTTTTCTGACCTGGGTTTTAACAGTAGTGGACTTCATCAACAGGAACTCACAGAAGATCAAACTGAAGAGGATTAGATTGGCAAAACGAGCTGCCTCTCCCTTGTCTTGTCGACAGTGCAGCAACGAAAAACACAATTTTGAGAGTTTCTAAGGCCCTGCTGACCATGTCAAATGACAGATCAACACAATTATCACAGGTGAATAATCATTTGGGCACTGAATACCAACAGTCTAAACTGAACAATGTCAGTGTGGCATGGTTTACACAGAACAGCTTCTCACCAGAAAGCTTCTGTCTCCTATCAAAAGGATATCTGCTTTTCTACCGGCACATCACGAAAGTTTTTTTTTTACTAAAATTGATCGGTAGATCATGCACAGCAGAGGGAAATACACCATACTCAGTGTCCATCAACACTTGATTGTTTTCGAACATAATACCTCTAGTTTGCTCTTCTCAGCAGTATTTGATAAAGAGGGAGATGATGGCAAGGGTGCAGCAACATCAGAGGTGGTTATCTGTACAGAACAGATTAAAGGAACAACAGACACGTGAAGCAAAACAGGAAACAGAAAACAAGCATTAGCATTAATTATACAACATAAAAAACCCTAAAAGTTAAAATGTCACAAGCTTTATCTGTAGTCAATGAAAAACAGTGATAAGGATTTTTTTTTAAGCGTATCATTTGACAAATTGCATAACTTCAATTCAGGAATACAACTTTTTTGGACCAGTGCAATCTCAACTCTTAAAATGAAAATATTCTAATCCTGTCCATAGTCCAGAAGACTGAGTGACTAGACCTCTGAAGCTGCCACTACAACAAAATTATATTCTATACACAAACAACATACAGAATAATTTCAGATTAAGCTCTTTTATACAGAATGGTATGAGGTACGATTTTTACTCTTACTACAATGGTGGCAACACTCATCCATATAAAGTTACTTTATTCCCTTCCTTGAAGGTTTTTAAACTCATTCATTCAAAACTGGATGGCACGGTGGTTCAGTGGTTAGCACTGCTGCTTCAAAATGCCAGGGATCAAGGTTCAATTCCACCCGTGGGCGACTATCTGTGTGGAGTTCGCACATTCTCCCTGCTTCTGCGTGGGTTTCTGCCGTGCGTTCTGGTTTCCTCCCACAGTCCAAGACTGGCCATGCAAAATTGCTCACAGTGCCCATGGGAAATGCAGAGTTACATGGATAGGGTAGGGGGATGGGACCGGGTGGGATGCTCTTCGGAGGGGCGGTGTGGACTTGTTGGGCCAAATGACCTGTTTCCACACTTCAGGGATTCTATGAACCCTTCTCTCACATTATGATTGCTGTTCAAAACAAATAGCTATTAGTGCACAGTCCGTTGCACATCACCTATTCTTCAGCTGATAAATTAAGCAAAAGCCTCAATTTTAAAGTGAACACTGTCAATGAGTTTGCTTTGGAATTATTTTACAGCACCCTAGACACTATTCTATTTGCAGATGTCAGTAATAGAAATGAGCTAATAAACATGAATGCCTTGGAGGCCTTTCACTTGGAAATTTCAAATTCAACACAATACATATTCAGTACATTGTGTGGCTGCCACAAACCAGAATATCTAAATACTACTGAAAGAAAAAAAGACTAAATTCTTGATGAGCATGAGGTAAAAGGTTATTAGGAGTAAGCAAAAATGTGGATTCGATGTTACAAACAATTCAGCCATAATCTAATTAAACAACACTGCAAACATGAGGGGATGTATCACCTATACCTTGCATTTATATTGCACTGTTTATGACTAGGAGCCATCTAAACATACATTACAGTCAATGAAATAGCTTTGAACCATAGTCATAACTGTGGTGTAGGAGTTTTCCCATATTACAACAGTAACTAGAAAATCAACTGCTTGACGTGAAGAGGTTTGATGCAGCTAGCTTTATCACCTTCATCTTGCTAACATTTCCTGTTTGGCTGAAATCCTGAAGGAGTTATTTGAAGCTGAGAAAGTTTATGCTCCGTTATATGAAGACTCAAGGAAGATGCTATCAGATTCTCAAGAGTAGAAGTTGAAGCATCAGTTAAGTAAACCTATAGATTGGTTAGAGAAGGGAATTCTCTAAGTGAGTACTGTAAATGGTAACAAGATGAATAAGATTGTATTTTACCATATGTTTAAAATCTTTAAATTTGTGATACATAAATTGTTTGATTTACTCTGTCTCATCTTCATTTCTTTTGTTGAATGAACTTCAATTTTATTGCTAAAACTGAACATACGTTGCGTGTTTGTACTTCAGTAAAACGAATCATCTAATTAAAACAAATAAATATAATTCATCAAACCAGGTTTCTATTTCAGTCTGGGACTTAACTTGTCCAGTAATACCATCAACTGGTACTACAACTGCTTCAAATATTTCATGTCAAATTGCCAATTTATGAATTAGATCTACAAGAAGACTCAAACTTTAATAGACTTGAAATGAATATTTCTCTTAGGCCATTACAAAATAGTTAGGTATTTCTGATAGCTCTATTCAGCAGTAGGAGACTACCTAACAACAATACAGAGAGATTTATATATCATACAACTTAGCAGCGCAGAGCAGGCCAGTCGGCTCTTTGAACCTACTCCATCATTCAATATAGCTGCAGCTAATCTTCATTCCACTTTTGAGTGTCTCCAATAATCCTCAACTGCCTAGCCCATCAAAATCTACTCAACATGGCCATGAGTAAATTCAATGACTCTGCCTCTGTTGCTTTCTGAATAGAACTCCACAGCCTAACGATTCTCAAAATATTGTCATCACATGGGCTTCTATCACAAACAACCCGTTTTCAGCCACTTATTGTCCCCATTAACAGCTGATTCTGCCAGGCTGACCTTCATCCATTCCTTTGACTGACCAACTAATTTTCTCTCTCTGGGCTCCATCTCCACCTATTGTTTACTTCACTTCCTCTCCATCTTCACCATACTAACCAATCTTTTTCTCGCTAAAATCAGTTCAGAAGAAAGGTCACTGGACCCGAAACATTAGCTCTCCTTTCTAACCACAGGTGCTGTTAGATCTGCTAAGTTTTTCAGCAATTTCAGTTTTTGTTTCTGATTTCCAGCATCTGCAATTCTTTGTTTCCTGTATACTATTTTACCTGCTATCTAGCCAACAATCTGTACAAATACATAAGAAAAACATTAGTTGAAATTAACTAAAACTATCTGATTTATTTATTACCAGAATTAACATGCCACAACTGAATTTAACTCAACGACTGGAATAATGAGAGATTATAACTGAAACCAACTGGCATCCTCACTTGCCTAATTGGTTTTAATTAGGACCATCTGAATCTTGCTGGAGCCAAATGCCTGGCTAACCAGCTGAACTCTATAACTGGGATGACTGACACTTACATAGAATCCCTACAGTGTGGAAGCAGGCTATTCGGCGCGATTAGTCCTCACTGACCCTTCAAAGAGCATCGCACCTAGATCCATCCACGCAGAAATGGAGAGAATGCAAACTCCACACAGAAAATCACCTAAGGATAGAATCGAATCTGGGTCCCTGGCGCGGTGAGGCAGCAATGCTAAACACTGTGCCACCCCAATGGGAAACAGCTGTGGTTCCACTAGATTATTTGGATCTTATTGGAAGTCCTGGCCTTCTGCTGGAAGAAATTGCAGACAAATGATTCTTTGAACTGGAAACTGTATCAGTTGAATCAGTCGAAAGAATATTGATCATCCAACCAGTCAGCCTCTTTACATGCGATAAAAAATGCTGTTCCTTTTCTTGCCCCAAATCTGATTCTTCCATCCTACCTCTGATGAGCGCAAAGCAAAAAGCTTAAACTGCTTACCTTCTTTTAGTAATGCTTAAACTACAGATTCCACATTCATAAAAATCTAATTTATTATCTTCGTGATTTCAAGTTTTCTCAGTTAGATTTGTCGTTAATTTATTGAGAGGTATATAAAACTCTTCTTTGTAAAACCCGCTTTCAGCCTAATTATCTTTTTCTTTCTTCCTCAAGTGGCTTCATTCCCCCCACCTTATACCCTTGCAATTTCCCCCACCCCTCCACGCCCCTTGTCTCTCCCTCTCAACATCCTTTCAAGCTTCATCCTCATGGCCTCCCTTCCACCAACGCCCCCACCACAATTTCTCTCTGGCAAATGACTGCCTCAGCAAAAAAGAAAACAGCTTCTTGTTACTCCCTGGGTACAGTATGACGACGACTGCCAATCCCCATGTCCCAGCCTTGGTAAAAACACTTCCTGGCTGCACGACGACCCTCTACTCCCTCACTGTAGGGACTTACTTATTCCCATCATTGGCTGCTCCTTTTATCATTGGTTACTTCTATTCTACATTTGTTGCTGATTGGTTCCCTCCTCTACTTGATGTTAGTGAACCTGTCAGCGATTGGAAGAGCAGTTCCTCACCATTTACTTTCAATGAATTTCTGCCTGACTGGTCACCTACAATTGTATTTTCCCAGGCATTCTGGAGTAGATCTATTACTCCATTCTCAGTGATTTCTCCTAAATTATGGATTCTAAGACCTGAGACTGAACTAATTACCCCATCCTGCTTCCTTAAGTGATACAGTAGGTATTTTCTAATTCAGAAGCAATTAGTAAATTTCAGGATTTCAAATTATGATCAGTGTCTCTGCAATGCTCTCTCTGACAACTTTCAATAGTTTAGTGTACATGCAGTCTGTCCTAGTATCATATCCAAGTCAATCCTATTACTTGGAGATAGCAACAACTGCAGATGCCCAGTCCTGATGAAGGGTCCCGTACAAAATGTCAACTTTCCTGCTCCTCTGATGCTGCCTGACCGGCTGTGTTCCTCCAGCTCCATGCTGTGTTATTGACTCAATCCTATTATTTTATTTTAGAAGTTCACCAAGACTGCCATTTCTGATAAACCTATCATTGAATTTCCATCATTTATAAAAAGCAATGCTCAACATTCAAAGACTCTGGCATTAGGATACCTCTTGTCCCTGATCTCGCACTTCCTCCCCGCTTTATCTGCTTTCCTCTTTTGTCATTCTATAAAACGTCTGATCACATGCCAGATTCACAATGTTTTATTGCATTAGTTCTAATTTTTAAAATTTTCCATTTTAAAGTTTGTTTAAAAGTAATAATTTCTCCACAGACCACATCTTTTATGTGCTTCACTCAGACTCATGGTTATCCTCTCTTTTATAACTGAATTTTATAACACTGCCGATTTATAAATTTGTTTGCAGTATGTGGTCAATTAACTTAAGCCAGATTGCTTTTTATTAAATTGACTTAACCGTTTTCCAATCTGCATCGCTAATTTTGATTCAAAGTTGTCACTTCTTGCACTGATTCATTTCATAGTCATCATTTCCCAATTATTTGTTTACACTTGCTTACATCCATTTCACAGAACTGAAATAGTCAATGCTGATATCCTTGATGGTCAGAAAAACCAATAACTCAAGATATATCCTAAAGAACATAGCTTATTCATTAGTTAAAATTCATCTACTGTCATGTCTTTCACATCTCTCAATTGTGTATAATTTTTTTATGACTTCCACACTCTTGTATGTGCGTGCTGTTTTCCTACTAATTTCTTTATTCTATTGTAACTGTGAAAATGGATTATCAACATTCATAACAGACTAAAAAACTATTCCAAAATGACAAATGATTCAAACTGGTTGTTATGATCTCATGATCAAGTTAAGCCAACCTAATTAAACTACCCACAATGATCAGTCAAAGTTATACAGGGCAACAAAACTCAGATCTGACCTCCCACTTGATTCACACCTTTCTACAAGTTACATATCAAGATGTAAAGTTGTCTGCAAAGTATTCAGCTTGGAAAAACAATGACCAGACTCAATACATACATGCTTTTTTGTCAACAGCTATTTCTGGATAAAACACTATTTGCCCATGTCTTGTTCAACCTCAAAAGTGCCCACTTACAGACTAATTTGAAATAACAACCATTCACTGAGAACTGAGATCTGCAAACTTTGCTACTGCTGAAGAAACAAACAACAACTAAACAGTCAAGACTCAGATTATTATCACAGCACAATGACTCAAAAAGTTTAACTTGCAATTGCCATCGTGCTTCTGTCTACCCCTACTGCTGTTCTTGAAAGCCTTTCAGCCATATTTTTCCACTCAACAGTAGGAAATAAAATTCTTCTCAATCACTCTGGAAAATAGTGTTAATAAGAGGCTGCTCCATTTTGATCTACTTAACCAAAATGATTTGAAGTGCGATAGCTGCATGCAAAAGCATTCTCCCACACAAATTCCCTCTTTCCTAATGCCAACTCTGGAGCTCAATCCTATTTTTTCTGACAATGACATGACCATAATAAAAGTATTCAGAAGAAAAAAAGTCAAACATTGAGATATTCAGAAATAAAAGCATTGTTGTAGCAAGTGAAGTGAAATTGAGATGCAAAGTCACAATGTCGCACATTGGTTACAAGCAATTTCTTTAACAATTCTGTCAACTGTTACACTTTGGATTTTCAAAACTATTAACATTTACAAAGAGTATCTCTTTGCTTTCTTGCTGGAAGGTGAGTCAAGAGCGTGAACAGTATTTGATTTCTATATGCCTTGTCTTCACCTTCCAATATCCATATTCAACTCATCACCTTCTGCCTTTTCTGCCACAAAATACATCTTCCTTCTTCAATTTTAGCACTCCAGAAAGGGATCATACCCATTGCAATGCCTTGAATCGTCCCCAACAGCCACTCCCTGACCAACAGCACCATTCCACACAAGCTCAGGAGACACAACACCTGCTCTTTGACCTCCCACGTTAGCACCATCCAAAGCTCCAAATATACTTTACAGATGAAACAGTAATTCACTTGTATTATTCAGTTAAATACATTTTTTAGCTGCTTACAATGTATGTGCATTGAACTAGGGAAACCAAACTGATTGGCTGACCATTTTGTGAAATACTTTCATCGAGTTTGTAAGTGTGACTCTGAGCTTCCAGTCACCTCTCATTTTAATAGTCCAACTAATTCTGAATCCTGATCTTGGCCTCCTACGGTGGGCCAATGAAGCTCAGGGAACAGAGACAAAGAAACTGCAGATGCTGGAATCCAAGATAGACAAACAGGAGGCTGGAAGAACACAGCAATCCAGGCAGAATCTCGAGGAAAGGAACAGCCAATGTTGTGGGTACTACCCTTCTTCACCACTGGATGTGGGGGCATGGGGAGCTGCAGACAAATTGGGGGGGGGTGCAGAGGTGTGGAGGCGGAATAGTGGTGTTAGGTGAACACTGGTAGTAGGTACGACCTGGGTTGGTCAATGGGAGTGATGAATCTGGTTGAGTCCTCTGGGTGTAGGATGCCCAGGCAGAAGATAAGGTGCTGTTCCGAATTGCCGCAACACTGGAAGAGGCCGAGGACGGACATGTCGGAGGGGAACTGGGGCGGGGAGTTGAAATGGGCATTGGCTGTTACGGACCAGGCAAAGATGCTCAGCAAAACAGTCACCTAGTGTAAGTTTGGTCTCACTGAAGACATTGGGAGCACTGGAGGCAATAGACTAGCTTGGAGGAGATGCAGGTGAAGCTCTGTCTCACTTGGAAGGGCCTGAATGGAGGTGAGGGAAGTGGTGTGTGGGCAGGTGTTGCATCTTTTACAGTTACAGGGGAAGGTACCAGTCAGGTTGGAGTGGTTGGTGGGGAGTGTGACATGAACTAAAGAGTGGTGTAGGGAACGGTTCTTGCGAAAGGCAGAGAGTTATTGAGGGTGAGGACTAGTTTGGGGAGGCAGAGAAGGGTATTGTGGGGGTGGCGGGGTTAGCGGACTGGATGGGTGTGATGGAGAGGAAAAAACCGAGGGCTCAGAGGCTGTCCTTGTGAGGTATGGACATGTACAGGGATTGATTATCTATTGTAAAGATGAAGCACCGGGAGCCAGGGAGTTGGAAGTTTCCAAAGGCGTGGAGGGCGTGGTTTGTGTCCCAGATGTAGGTGGGGAGTGCCTGGACCAAGGGGGAGAGAATGGAGTCGAGGTAGGAAGAGATAGATTTGGTGGGGCAGGAGCATGCGGAGACAATGGGTTGGCTGGGTAGTTGGGCTTATGGATCTTGGGGAGCAGGTAGAACCAGGCGGTACGAGGCTGGGGGACTATAAGCTGGAGGGACTATACAGCTCTGAACCACCACCCACGTCCCCACCAAACATAATAAAGACAGGGACCCCTTGTCCTCACTTTCCACCCCACCAGCCTCTGCATCCACTGTATCCTCCTCAAACACCTGTACCAACTCCAATTAGACCCCACCATCTGGAACATCTTCCACTCCCTACTCCTCTCTGCCTTCCGCAAGGACCATTCCCTACGCCACTCCTCAGTTCACACCACACTCCCCAACAACCACTCCAACCCGACCAGTAACTTCCCTTCTTACATAAAAGATGTAACGCCTGCCTACACACCACCTCTCTCACCTCCATTCAGGACCCTAAACAGTCCTTCCAAGTGAGACAGAGTTTCACCTGCATCTCCTCCAACCTAGACTATAGCATCCGGTGCTCCTAATGTAGTCTTCTCTAGGTCAGTGAGACCAAATGTGGACTACGTGACTGTTTTGCTGAGTATCTTTGCCTGGCCCAAATGCCATACTAACCTCCCGGTCACCACCCATTTCAACTCCCCGCCTCACTCCACCTCCGACATGTCTGTTCTCAGCCTCCTCCAGTGTTGCAGCGACTCGGAACACAAATCTGAAGGACACCACCTTATCTTCCGCCTGGGCACCCTATAGCCCGGAGAACTCAACATTGAGTTCTCCAATTTCAAATAACTTTCCCACCAGCTTCCCTTCCAGCCCCACCTCCTCTCTTCCATTCCACCTTCTGCTCTCCCTTCCAGCCAACAACCGATTCATCCCTCCCACCGACCAACCAGGTCATACCTACTACCAGTATCCAACTATCACCACCATTCTGCCTCCACCTTTCGCACCCCCATCTAGTCCTGAAGAAGGGTAATACCTGAAATGTTGACTGCTCCTTTCCTCCAAATGCTGCTTGGCTTGCTGTGTTCTTCCAGCCTCCTGTCTGTCTACCAAGCTCAAGGAACAGCAGCTTATCCTTTCCAAGAGCGTATGTTGTATTTTTCAGTACTCAGCCCTAATATAATAAATTTAATTACAACCTCTGTCCCCATTTTGTTTCATTTTTCTTTGCTTACTTTGGCTTCTGTTATTTCTGTTTTTTTTTAAAAGCCTTTTTATTTTCAGATGACAGCAATTCATGATTACAATTCACACCTCCTCTAGACATATTATATTTCTTGGGATGATCCCTTTGGCTTCCCACTATAAAGTTTCCAGCCCAGTGGGTTATAGGGAGATGCGTCTGGGTGGGATGTGTTGAGGCTCAGTGTGGACTTGTTGGGCTGAAGGGCCTGTTTCCACAGTGTAGGGATTCTATGATCTATCACAGAACTTATTTTTGCCTAATCTTATTCTTCCCCTTCACTTGCTCATTTCACCCTTAGGCACTTTACAGCCTTCAGGACTGAACACTGCATTCAACAACAGCACAGCATAAACACTCAGCCATTTTGATTACAGCCCCTCAGCTCACAGCACCCCCACCATGGCTCCAACCACCCTCCACTGTCTTGTTGGCATGTGCTCACTGTCAGCAGAATGGACCAAATTTCTGCTATTTGCATCCATATCCCTCCTCTATTAGCACTCGATTTGTCTTTTGTTCTTTGTACCTTCTCCACCTGTTCCACCCCAATCAACAACATAAAAAACATAATTTTGCAACTGTCTTCACTGTCTTCTGTTCTGATGTATCATATTGGGCTCAAAACAGCAAATCCAGTGCACTCTAGCTGAGTCTATGAACTAAAGGTTGAAATCAGGCAGCTATAAAATGACTGAATGCCCTGTGATCTCAGCAGGGGCACTGTTAAAAAGTATTGTATTAGTAATTTCTACCATATAAGCATGAATCTCAGCAAAACTGACTGAAATTTCTATAGTACCTCCAGTGAAACACAAAACCTTTTTAAAAGCTAGTGAATTTAAGGTTAAAGACAGTTCCAGGCCAGGACATGCAGCAGTACTTACTGTGATTCCACTGTTTGCATTTTTATCCACATATTTCTTTTTCTCATACTTGTCCCTGATGAAAAATTCTACAGCTCTGAAGAATACTCCGTCAAGGAAAATATTTTGTTTTTAAATAAAGAAAGCATTTTATTTCCTGCAATAGTAAAAAAGATTTCTGAACACAGCTGAATTAGTAACATGCTCAAAAAGTGTTTTCAATCAACTTTATGACCTCCTACAACCTCTTCCATCAAGCAGAAGCTACCTGATCGCATGCACAAGCAGGTTCAGGAGCAGCTTCTTTCTGGCCAAAATCAGACTGTTGAATGGACTCTAACCTCAAATAATGTAAACTGCAATGTAACCTGTATGCCTCTAAGTTTTTTTGATCTGTACATCCTTTACTTGCTGTGATCTGCCTCTACTGCTTGTAAACAAAACTTTTCCGGTATTTCGGGACACGTGACAATAAAATCAAATCAAACATCAAATCAGAATTCCCTTATTTTTAAAACGTCCCTTTGGTACCTAATAAAATTGTTAACCTAGATTTGTCTTTTCACTTTAGGCACAATTTGATTATTTTCTATTGGTATCCCTCAGTCCACAAAGGGTCAAAAAAAAGTTTTTAAAACTATGTTTGCTCCAGACTTCAAATTTCCAGTTACAAAATCAAATGATTTCTCATTTATTTTAATGGTGGTCACAACAATATTATACAACATCTTTGATGTGATAAAATATCCCAAAACACTTAACAGAAGAACATAAAGCAACACCAAGTTTAAAACAGATGTTAGGGAAGTCTAACAAAGACTCGGTTAAACAGCTAAGTTTAAGGAATATCTTAAAAGAGGAGAAATGCCTGGGCAGCTGAGGCTCAGCAAATAACACTGAACATAGAACAGTACAGCACAGGAATGGGCCCTTCGGCCCACAATGTTGTGCCAAACATGACGCCAAATTAATCTAACCCCTTCTGACTGCCCTTGGTCCATATCCCTCCATTCCTTGAAATATTCATGTGCTTATCTAAAAATCCCTTAAATGCCCCAGTCGTATCTGCCTCCATCACCAACCCTGGCAGCGCGTTCCAGACTCCTACCAGTCTGTGTACAAACTTTCCCCCCTCACCTTATGAGACATTTCAATTCTAGAATAAAGGTTGTGACTGTCAAGCCTATTTTTGTATCTCAATTTTATACACTTCTATCAAATCTCCCCTTAGCCTCCACCACTCCAGAGAAAACAACCTGAGTTCATGCCCTCTTATCCAGGCAGCATCCAGTGAATCTCTTCTGCACCCTCTCCAAAGCCTCCACATCATTCCTGTAATATGGCAACCAGAATTGAATGCCGTATTGTAATGTGGCCTAACCAAAGTTGTATAAAGCTACAACGTGACATTCTGACTCTTGTATTCAAATACCCCAACCAATAAAGGCAAGCATGCCATATGGCTTCTTTACCACTGGATCTACTTATGTGGCAACTTTCAGGGAACTAAGAAATTGAACCTCAAGATCCCTCTGTACATCAACGTTGTTCAGGGTTCTGCCATTAACTGTATACTTTGCCTTAACATTTGATCTCCCAAAGTGCAGCACCTCACACTTACTTGGATTAAACTCCATCCTCCATTTCTCTGCCTATATCTGCAACTGATCTATATCCTGCTGTATCCTTTCACAACCATCTACACTATCCACAACTCCATCGATCTTTGTATGGTCTGCAAACTTACTAACCCACCCACCTACATTTTCGTCTAAGTCATTTTATATATACACACACGTATATATATTACAAACAGCAGAGGTCCCAGCATGGATCCCTACATAACACCACTTGCCACTGACCTCCAACCTAAAAAAACACCCTTCCACCACTATCCTCTGTCTTTATTGAGAAAGCCAATTCTGAATCCACGCACCAAGTCACCGTGGATCCCATGCATCTTAATCTTCTGGGTGCACCTACCACAAGGGACCTTGTCGAAAGCCTTATTAAAATCCACATGAACAACATCCACAGCTCTTCCCTCATCGACCACCTTCGTCACCTCCTCGAAAAATTCAATCAAGTTAGTGAGATATGACTTGCCCCGCACAAAGCTGTGCTGACTGCCTCTAATTACGCCATGCTTTTCCAAATGCATATAAATGCTATCCCTAAGAATTTTCTTCAATAGCTTCCAAACCACCGATGAGAGAGCCTATAGTTTCCTAGATTATCCCTATTTCCCTTCTTGAACAGGGGAACAACCTTAGCTACTTGCAGTCTCCCGGGATCTCCAGCAGCTAGCAAGGATACAAAGATCTTGGTCAAAGCCCCAGCAATTTCCTTTCTTGCCTCTCTCAGTAACTTGGGGTAAATACCATCGGGGCACTGGGGACTTATCCAACTTAATGTTCTTCAAGAGACCCATTTCCTTCTTGATCTCAAAATGCCCTAGCATATTAGCACATTCCACACATATCTCACTATCCTCCATAACCTTCTCCTGGGTAAATATCGATGCAAAGTTCACATTTAGGATCTTGCCCACATCCTCTGGTTCCAAGCACAAGTTCCCTCCTTTATCCTTGAGTGTTCCAACCTTCTCCCTAATCCTCTTGTGTTTAATGTACATATAGAATGCCTTAGGATTCTCTTTAACCTTATGTGCCAACATCATTTCATGGCCCCTTCTTGCTCTCCTAATTCCACGCTTGAGTTCTTTCCTGATTTCTTTATATTTCTCATGGGCCCTGTCCAATTTAAGATTCCTAAACCTTACATTTGCTTCTTTCTTCTTTTTGACTAAATTCACAACCTCCTTCATAACCGAGGGTCCCTTATGTTCCCATCCTTGTCCTTCCTCCTTATTGGGACATGCGGTCCTGAACTCTCATCAGCAGGTCTTTAAACAATTCCTACACGTCGAATGTGGACTTCTCTGATAACAGCTCCTCCAATTAACACTCCCTAGCTCCTGCCTAATACTGACATAATTTGCCCTCCCCTCATTTAGTGCACAAAGTCCTGACTTATCCTTATTCATAGCTGTCTTAAAACTTAAGGAGATGTGATCACTGTTTTATAACATGGTTCATTTACCGTTGCCTGATCTCCAGGGAAAAAAACAGCAATATGTTCAGTCCTTGTGCCTTCATTGATCTACTCAGTCACCTATAGTTTCCATTTTCGTTCTCCACAGCAACCCATTAGCTAATCAACGCATTTTTCTCATGTAGATTAAATTGCTGTGATCATGTGAAATTTGGAAACATTTGTCCTGAGAAATACAAGACGAAACCTTCAACGATTTCCTCTTTTCATCAATATTCAAACATGCCTGAGAAAACAATGAAATTTGTCATTAAGTGACCAAAACTTTATGGTTTTATTCTATTCTGTGCAATTCTGGAACATAACTCTATGGAACTGGGTTTAAAGAAATCAGCGCATGGGACTGAGCAGTTTGATGATTAAGCTGAAAAAGGGAAATGAATAAAGTTCAAGAAAGCAGAGAAGTGAAGCCGTGAAGTGATCAGAGGCCAGAATTTTAAAATGAATGCATTGAAAAACTGAAAACCAAACAGCAGCTTAAGTCTGAGATAACAAGGTGTAGAGCTGGATGAACACAGCAGGCCAAGCAGAGGAGCAGGAAAGCTGACGTTTCGGGCCTAGACCCTTCGTCAGCAGCTTAAGTCTAGTGGTGACATGAGCGTAAAACAGATCCAAAGGTGTGTGCTCCAGATTATAGTTAAATCTTAATAAATTTTAATAGATTTTAGTGTACACAAATGGTGAGTGAAATGGCACCAGTTAAGATTTTGGGATTACTGAATTTTTCAGTCTTTGTATTTTGGCTTGCTCTCAAAACTAGAGTCCACGGTCATTTATGCCACAGAAGGAGGCTATTGTCCAATCAAGTCTATGTGAGCTCTCTGGGGTGACTGACAACAGCAACTAGCTGGTGGGAAATACCATCCATGCAGTCCTTTCAAGCGGCCATCTGAATTCCTTTTGAAATCACTGATTGAATCCACATCCACCTCCTTCATAGGCAGTGGATTCCAGGTCAACAGTATTTACTCTGTAAAAAAATTTATTGTTTTTAATCTTTGATGGGACGACAGTGTCACTGGCTGGCCAGCTGTTACTGCCACCCCCCCAACCCCAGCTGCCCTATTGTACAACTGTGGTCCACCCGCTGTGGGTTGACCCACAATGCCATTTGGGAGGGAATTCCAGGAATTTGACCTTGCGACAGTGAAGGAACAGTTGTATTTTCAAAGTCAGGACAGAGTATGGCTTGGAGGGGAATTTGCAGCTGGTGTGGCTTCCATGTATCGGCTGCCTTTGTCCTTTTAGATGGAAGACATCATGGGTTTGGAAGATGTTCCTCACATTAACCTTGATCCTTTACCCAATTGCCCATTTCTGTCTCCTAGCCGTTGTACTAGATTCCTTATCAGATTAAAAGAATACATTTCATTTCTCCTTGCTCTTCTACACTAACAGTCTTAAAACATCTGCTCTCACCCAAATGTGCCCCACAAAATCTTGTTCCACTCAGCCCACTTCATTCCTAGCACCAGATGCAGTATCACCTCCTTTCCAGGTGGGCTAACAACATACTAATCAAGAAAGTTCTCTAAAACACAGTCCAAAATTCCCCCTCTTCTTAGCCTTTGCTTACTAAACTACACATTTTTTCAAATTAACTTTTTTACAACAACAATTAAAAGATGCATAGAAGAATGAATACTAATGACTGGAAAACAAACTCCGGCCAAATGTAGAAATTAAAAAGGCTACAGACTACTGTGGTTTTACAGACTTTTGAATTGTGCAAAAGTTAAATTGAATCCAATCCACAGGTAAATTATGACAGTCAAACACTAGTGAAAAAGGTAACAAATAAGCAAGAGAAATTAAAATAAGACATGAGAGCATTCCACAAGTAAACAGAGAATGAAAAACTAGTGGTTACTTGTAAAAAGACTTAAGCGTCAAAGAAATGAATTTTTTTGAAAAGAAAATCAATTAAGCAGACCAGCTGTGCGAGTCAGAAATTTACATTCATTAATCTTAAGGGAAATGCGG